AAGTAAAAAATAAACATAAAATAAATAAAATTAAAATTCATGATAAAATATTTGTAATTATCTTAAAAATAAGATTTTTGGAAAACATATCCGTAAGATCTTCGGTTTGTGGTTAGATAACACCTCATCGGTTTGTGGTTGGGCGTGTTATAAGATTTTGACAGCGACTTGGATCTATTAAAAAGTATTTGCAGTGACAATTACATAAGGTAAATGATTAAGGAGGTGAACCAGATTTCCTTATATTCTAATTTTAATTTAAGTTAAATTCATGTTTTTAAGGTAGAATTGTTGTTTGTTAATTCCGAGTTCTCTCTTCTTCTTTTTTTTTTGAGATATTTATTTTTATTAGGGTAGTTTTTTTTTCCCAATATAAGATATTTTTTAAACTTATTTTCCTAGCCATGTTTTTTAATCTTTTTTAAATATAAAATATTAAAAATCAAAAGAAAATTTTATTTTTTAACATGAAATTATAAGTTGTTTTTTTGTTTCATAAAAGATAAAAAAATCCTTTTGATTTAATTATTTAAAGAAGGTATTATTTTTTTAATATAAAATAAAAAAGTTTTAATTTTTTTTTAAAACTTTATTATTTATATATGGTATCTTCTACTGGCTTTATCTTCTTCAGAAACCTTAAAAATGCTATTTTTGCTAAGCCTTTTTCACATCAATTCTGCACTTTAGCCGACAATCTTTTGTACTTCTGAATGACTGATTCTCCGTGTTTGCTTGAATGCGCTTCCATCTTCGATTTGACTCTGAGTCTGAATGGAAATCATGCCCCAGAAAATGTGAGCCAGTGGTTACGTAGGAGTGATTTCAATCACCAAGACAAGTTACCAGTTTCTGGGGCCCTCATCTATTGCAGAATATAGGATGGAAGTCTTAAAGGAGATTCCAATTTACATGTTCTGCTGGCATTGCTCATAACAAGGTTGGAAACTGCGTTTTTTCTTCTTCTTATATTATTATTATTACTACTTTTGCTTTCTTGTATATTGAGTATTGTCATACCTGATCTGATGTTACAGTAGTATTAAAAATTATTATGAAAAAAAAAAAAATTTAGCATTCTATTTTTTAATGAGAATTAATTTTATTTAAAAAATTCTAGTATTATAATTATTAAAAATCTTAAATGATGAATAGAAATTTTATGATTTAGGATTAATTATGTGAAAAAAAAATATTATTATATTTTAAATGTTTTGTCTAAAACAGACGGTATTATTAGTTTTGTTGTAAATTGCTAAATATATTAGTTTATGTTATAATAATTTATTTATAATATTTTTAATTTTAAAATATTTAATTATAAATACTTCCAACTCTAATGTTGGTAAATATTACATAATTATAAAATCAAAATAAATTTAAATTAGTATTTTTTTATTCTTGACTCTGATATCAGTAGAAAAAATAAAAAAAAAATATTTTTACACACACAATTTTTGTATTAAAAATTATTATGAAAAAAAAAAAATTTAACATTTTATTTATTATAATTACTAAAAATTGTATTTTAAATGTTTTGTCTAAACAGACTGTATTATTAGTTTTGTTGTAAATTGTTAAATATATTAGTTTATGTTATAATAATTTATTTATAATATTCTTGACTCTAATATTAGTGAATATTTTCAACTCTAATGTTGGTAAATATTATATAGTTATAAAATCAAAATAAATTTAAATTAATATTTTTTTATTCTTGACTCTAATATTAATAGAAAAAATAAAAAAAAATTATTTTTACACACACAATTTTTTATTTTTGTATGACTAAATAAAATATAATAAAATAAATTTGAATTAATATTTATATTCCTTATTCTAACATCAATAAAATAAAAATAAATTTATATATATAAATTTTTATATTTTTATTTTTTAGGATTGAGCTAGCCTGTCTGTGGCTTGTGACCCGAGCAGTTTTACCCGCTACAGGCACAATGTTATTAAATTTGCATGAATTATCTTGCAAAGCCGGAGAGACTTACTTGGAGGCAGGGAGACGGAGACGTGATGGAGGACTGGTCGGCAAGTTGCTTTCTTCCTCTGCCTTTTTCTTTCTTTCGCTTCACCTCTGTTTTTGGTTTTCTCTGCTTGGTTTCTTCTTGTGTGTCCCCTGTTTTGTGTGCGTTTCATTCTTTTATGGCCTTCTGTTTTTGCTCGTTTTTATCACTGTTCTTGCGTCTTGTGTTCCCGGTGTTACATCCTCTCTGTGTTTACTCCCTTGTTCTCCTTCGCGTCCGTCTGTTCGGAGGGGGGAGGAGGTGGTGCCACCGGAGACAAGGCTAGCGCTAGTCTGGACGACGACGATGATATACGAAGGTGTGGTGGCTGGCCAAAACTTCACCTCCCCCTCTGTTTCGTTCCTCCCTGTTCGTCTCTATTTTTCTTTGTCCCCTGTGTGTTTTTTTTTTGTTTCGGTTCCTAATCTTCCCCTCCGTTTTCCTCTGGTTCTTGGCCTGTTTTCCCTGCTCTTCTTCCTCTGTGTTCTGGGTTTTTCTTCTCTGGTTTTTTCCTCTCGTTTTCAGTCCAATTCCCCCCCATTTTTTGAGGCCTTTCTCTGGCTTTTATAAAGCCAGAGAAGGTCTGGTGTTCCTGCCTCCATAAATGGTGGGCATCGTGGAGACGAGAGATCATGGCTGCATCGTGGGTGTAGTGGCCATAATCTGCTGGATTTTCCCCTGTTGAACCGGTCTTCGACAAGCAGATGATGAACAGAAGGATCCAAAACGGCGTCATTTGGCATGGAAAATGACAGATTATAGATTGGTCCCTGATGTTTTGAAATGTATCAATTGGGTCCCTTAATCAATTAATTTTAATTTTGCCCCTTGAATTAATTTCAATTAAATCCCTGAATTTATTTAATTTAGTAAATCAAAGTTTAATTAAGTCCACAAACTTATTAATTTTTTAATTAAATTTTTGATTTCATTGATTAAACTAATTTAAATTTTAATTAAATTCTTAAACTTATTAATTCTTCAATTTCTGACTACCCTTAAATTTGATAATTTCTTTCATGAACTTCAAATTTGTGTTGTTTTAACCCTATTTTTAAAAAAATTTTATTAATTTATTTTTTTATTATTTATTTAAAAATTGGATTATGGCAAGTATGATGGATTCATTATATTAATGAATGAATGGACCAAGATGCTAACGGTTTATATGAAAATTTTTAAATGCTGGCCAAACTCGCAAGTGGCATGAATAAGCCTGCTCAACAAGCTGTGGTGCCCTCCTCATCTGTAAAAGGATTGCTTGAATAATTGCCAGTGAAGAAAAATACAAGGCGTTTTGAGAGGGAAGTCGGGGACTTCATTTGAGACTTGTGCGAACCCTACTGGAGACCTCCTGCAGTGTTCAGAGGGAAAGCTACAACAGTGTTGTTGTAGATCAAGTATATGGATGCTCTAAATATAGATCAAGTATATGGATGCTCTAATTTTTCTTAGTTCAAGTAACTATTCTGTTGTGTTTCTCTGACAGAGCTTTCTATGGTATGACAAGCAAATTTGAAATTGGTTAAAACTCCTGCAGTAATTGTTGCTTCCGGAAGGCTTAAAATATGTTTCTTTTCCGAAGTTTATACTGTATCATATTTTAACTGCCATAAGATGTATTTTTCACATATTGTTGTACTCTAATCTTCTAGCTTTATATGCTTTTTCGGCTATCCATGTCTTATTTAGTTTAACATTAATCCTGTGGAAATACCCTTAAGCTTTATAGATAACAGCTTGCTCCCATTGACATTTTTCAAACAATTGCAAGATGCTGCCGCTGATTCCTTTTTTTTTTTTTTTTTTCTTTTCACGTGAATTTCAGTACTTGGTTATCGAACATTACGAGAGGAATCAATGGGGAAGAAGTTCAGGGCCGGCTTCTCCCCAAGAGCCATGATGCTGGGAAATCATTTTCTGCAGGTCCACGTTCTTTGAAGACAACTGCTTCTGTATGAACTTCTTCTTAACCAAATGTTTGTGAGCTCATTGGCCGGTCTCTTACATGCATTTCACTAGTTGTTGCTTCGCTGCAGTGATTACTCCAACAGTAACTTGTTTTGAAGCAGTGACATTTTTATATTAAAAAAAAAGTACTTTCTTTCATTATATCTTTTTAAAATATAGTTTTGAAACCTGATCAATTCAACAAATCGACTTAGAATTTAACTGATGGGGTTAAAACTAGATTTAGTTTAAAAAATTAAGAAAAGTTAAAAGCCTGTTAATATCCAATTAAAAAACTGGTTCTAACTCGTTAATTATTTATTTTTTTAACAAAAATAATATTGTTTTAATTTTTTAAAAAATAAAGTTGACTCGGTGATCCGGTCAAAAACCGATGATCTTGGCAAAACTAGTAATTCGGGCCTTGAGCCGGGTCAATCACTGGACCGATTTTAAAAACTCTAATTAAAAATGAATCATCTCTTTTGATTTTTTTTAAATAAATTTATAAATACAAAAATTAAAGTTACAGGTGATTAGAATCTTGTCATCTTAAAAGTTTTTTTTTTAATTTTTCCAACGATTCTTTCTATCTTTACTCAGCTTTTAGGGACAAAAACATGGTAAAATGATGTTTAGAACTAAAATATAATAACATAAAGGAATAGGGATGGAAAAAAAAGAAATTAAATCTTGAGAGATCAAATAGAAATTTTGCTTGCCATTTGTGGAAAAGGGTCTCGTCTCACCCTTCATGTCAATTTCTCTGTTTATATTTGCGTGTTTTCTAATTTGATAATAAAAAATATTCTCAAATCAATTTATAAATTAATTAAGATTAATTTTCTTTTCTGGATCTACTACACTTGTGTGCATCGGAAATTACAAGTGAGGGGAACAAGGATTGCCTGCAATTACAATACGTTACTATTTGAAACGGTGAAACCGCGTAATCTTGGTATTGAGAGAAGAGTCGACTGTCGCGCGATTCCCAACTGTCAAATTGACAAATTGTGAGAACTATCGTCATCTTGCTCGTAACATCTAACTTGGGTCCGAAGACTACCATACTTAATCAACGCTTCAAGATCTTTTGTCCAATTAGAACTTGTCAACAGCAACATATCAGTGCTTTCTTAGCGGGGTCATGTGCATCTTCTGTCTATAAAATGTCAGCCCCTACAAGAGGGAACTAGTTCTGGCCAACAATCGTGGGCACTAGCTGGAAAGCCAAGAGAGGATTATCAATGGTGTCAAGCAAGTACACAAAGCATTCCGAAAATCGTGAGGTATGGGTACTTCTATGTTTTCGCTGTCGAAATAATCTTTGTTCTTGAAATTCAAATTCATATTGATGTTTTTGTTTTCTCTTACGATAAATGTATCTATTTGGTAAAACACATATTTCCCAGAAAAGAAGAGTAAATAGAAAAATAAAGAGGCTGAAAGCAGAGATGGAAGAGATTGGTAAGCAACAAGTAAGTATCAGACAAGGGCAAAAGGAAATGAGAGAAAGGTTTGTTGAGATTGAATCAGCATGTGATCAGCTCAAAAAGGAGACTGAACTTATATCTCTTGCAAGTGACAAAGTTCAATTTCGCCTCAATATCATCTTCAAGATCCTGAAAGCGAGAGAAGAGAAGGATTTCGGTAAAGCTGCTGATCTTACTTTTTAGATTAACGTGGGTGTCCGGGTCAGCTTGCGCGCACCACGACTAATCTCACGGGCCCTGAAGTTAACGACCATGTAAGCCTCCAGTGGCCATCATATGAGCAACTAAGGACTCGAACCTGAGACCACAGAGGGAGCAAACCCCTTGATCCCAAGTCCTTACCACTTGGCCACCACCTAGATGGTT